TATAATGTTTGGGTAGCAGTTACCCAACATACTTTAAATCCAATTTATTGAAATTCGTTTCTCTCAACTAAATTTAATAGTTTTCTCTGCCACATGAATGGGCATTTACCATATCGTCACATTAGTCACGATGATGATTTTGATTTGATGTCTATATAATACATTATAGTTATGTTTTAAAACGAACAGAAAATTGGTGAATTGTCAACTGTTTTTTTCCTGATTAGGGGTTGATAAATATGAATAAATGCAGTTATCCTGGAATCTTAAGAGATATAAATAATACCTCTTTATGGAACGGGTTTCCTGAAGAAGCCCAATCTAAATTTGTATATTTTCTAAGAGCTCTTTTTATGATTGTGGGGCTAATATTGTTGTTTACATGCAGTCAGAGCCGCAAACTTACCTAAGAAACACAGCAATGAAGAATATGCTTTTCTATTATTATTCTTTCATCATGATCAACATAGGACAACAAATATCATAGTATTTTAAGTCCAAATTACCCAGCCCTACTGTGCTGTTCCCGTTAGAGCCTTCAGCTGTTTATGCAGCTATGCTGGAGTACAGTGGTATACTGACCAGGCCAATTCACAGTGCTAGAATACAGATGTAACAAAACAACAACACTAAAGACACAAACAGTGAGTATGTTACTCCACTTTTAATTTTTTTTTTCTTGAGGTGTGAAAAGTTGTTAAAATGATGTAGTTATGGAGTAACACCGCTGATAGTCTGCCATCCAAAAACACTAGTTCATATATGCCATGTCTGGGCGGTGCTGGCCATGTAGGCTCTGTCTGATAACCTACGGCAGCCATGATGCTCAGTCCTCTGGCTTCATGCAGACCTCTGCTCTATCATAAGTCTTATTTTGCACCTTGGCTGCATCCTGTTCAAATTAACCCTGCTCCAATCTCTCCCTTTTTTTGTCCTTGCTTTTTGGAAGCTTATATTAATTTTACTCCTACCTGTTTCTGTGTTTTTCTTATCGGGGGGAGCCATTTATTTTTCCCTTCAATATGCAAACAGTCAGATTGACCTGGTTTGGTGGTGTTCTGAGCCACTGAAAGCTGTTGGGACAGCTTCACGTCAGCGAGGCAATGAGTCTGCCTTTTATGGGTTAGGGGAAAAACACTCTGACCATCAGCACGTTTTGTTTGAAACAGACCAACTGTTTATTTTCCATTGTTTCCAGCCTTTTAAAGATTATATAAGCAGCTGGTCTCTGTCCTGCTTTTGTTAAGTTTGGCATTTCATAGATTAACTTAAATAGCTTATGATGTTAGCTAATAGAGAGAGACCACGACATTACAGGTAAACATGTACAATTACTACATGTCATGATCTACAGGTGGAGGCAGGGTGTGGCACATCCTTTCGGTAATAGTAGGATAAATGCTGGGATGATAATGCAACCAAAAACTGGCCTGATCTTAGAAAAAATCAGCAAACATGACCCAGGTAAAGTTCAAAGCTAAATCCAATCAAGATGTCGTCTCCTCAATCTGACCAATCTATCTTAAGCAATATTTAAATTTTCTAGGCTTCTTTGTACTCATAAGCTCAGAACACTTTCTCTCCTCTCCCCTGCTGTCTGAACACTATGTCCAAAGGACAGTAGTACTACAGTGGTAACTACAGTCTAGCAACTGCAGGCACCGACTGACAGGAGCTGAAAATAAAAGACTTCTATTATTTTTATTTTTTAACTTTGTATTCCATGTACAAGTTTAGTATCTTCCAAATTACACACTGCTTACTGTTGGTCCATCCCAACCCCAAAGGAAAACTTCAAAGTTTGTAGTTGAAATAAGACTTAAAGGCAAATATTTCAGGCTTTTTATAAAACTGCTTTGTTCTCCAAGTGGGCTTATTAAATAGCTAAGTGTCTGGAGTTTTTTTCTCTAAACTTAAATGTATGTATCTCATCGAATAAAACTAAGGAATGATGTCTTCCTGTTTTTCTGCATTTAGCATCCAAGGCTGTGGAGTGTCTGCTGGACTCCAAATGGGCCAAAGCTAAAAAGGGAGAAGAGGCGCTGTTCACCACCAGAGAGTCGGTGGTGGATTATTGCAACAGGTTGACCCACACCTAACATTTTTAATACAGCACATTTGCTCTTAAAATAGATCATTGTACTCAGATTACCTCTAACTTTTAGACACATCACTCGTTTTGATATTTCTTTGTTCCAATGCCACCGGTTTAGAAAAATGTTGGTTATTGGGTACAAATTTATTGCGTTTTCACCCCTAATCTGTTTTCACGTTTGAACATTGGAGGAAGTTCAACAGTAAAGATCCATGAGGGTCACCTACAGCAGCTAATCAGGTCTTTTTCTTCTTCAGACTCTTAAAGAAGCAGTTCTTCCATCGAGCTCTTAAGGTGATGAAGAAAAAACCAGAGAAAGACGCCAAAAAAGAGAAGGAGAAAGAAAAAACCAAGAGTGACGGCAGTAAAGAAGAGGAGAAAAAAGGGAAGGAGAAAGAGAAGAAGAAGGAGTCTGAGAGCGTTGAAACCAAGAAAGAGAAAAGTGTGAGTGAATCAGCCTTCGACTCTAAAATACACTACAAAAATATATGGGATAGATAATTAAACATAGGTGTTCTCTGATGGGACATCTTCATGATATAGACTCCCATTTATATTTTTTGCTGAAAAGAATATATTTGCTTTAAGTTGCCTTTTTTCTGAACTGATTGACCTTTAAACCCTCAGTTAGCTAATATTTAATCTGATGGGGGATTTTAAAATGCATATTCTTTTACATCTGGTATTGTAGTAATTAAATACATTTCTTACCTGTTCAGGATTTAAAAGTCTCAAGTATTACCAAATTATCCAACCTCACATTCCTGGTTGTCCCAAATGTGTAGGTTTGGTTCTTCACTGCTTCCTCGTTTCTGATTTTTTTTGTTGTTGTTATGGTTTGGATATTATTGCCCTGCAAAAGAACTTCATATCTGTAAAATCATAATTCTATCACATTTTCCCTCCATTAAAGTACCACTGTAAAGAAAACATGATGCCTAAACTAGTCCAATCATTTTCTATCATTTTGAATTATTTTGCCAGCTTCTGTCAAGAAGAGAGGATATTTAGGAAATGTTTGGGGGTTTCTTTTCCAGAAGAAACAAATAAAGTAAACTGTCTCAGTTTCAGTTTAGTTTATCTCCATTTCAAAATAAAGTTCCCTATTACATCTATAAAGTAAAACTCATCAACATCAGAGTATCTCTTTTGAATAAATTATATAAATACGTAGCTTATCTGTGAAATACAGGATGACAGCCCTGGAACCCCTAAGAAGAAGAAAGAGGTAAAGAAAAAGTTTAAACTGGAGCCTCATGAAGACCAGCTGTTTCTGGATGGAAACGAGGTGGGAAACGACGCCTCTCAAAGTTTGAATCGGTTATTTAGCAAGTAGAGAGAATAACTGTCATTTCTTTGCTGCAGGTGTACGTGTGGATTTACGACCCGGTCCACTTCAAAACATTTGCAATGGGCTTGATCCTGGGTGAGTTGGGGACTAGAACAGCGAGGTTTCAGCTGAGCACAAAAAGCACACAGATTCATCATCTAATCTGAATCTTCTCCCGTTTTTCTCAGTCATTGCAGTGATTGCGGCCACCCTGTTCCCTCTGTGGCCAGCAGAGATGCGTGTTGGCGTTTATTATCTGAGTGTTGCAGCGGGCTGCTTTGTGGCCAGCATCCTGCTTCTAGCAGTGGGTGAGTAGATCAGTGGAAGTTTTTGTGCTTTTCTGACCTGGAAAGAGCCTGTAGGCGTCCACATACTCGCGGTGTCTGTGTACACTTTACAATATTTGTATTCTAGTGGACATATTCCTATATTTCTCATGAAAAATGCCATGGCATCATGGGATGAGTTAGCCTTACAAAAACAAAAGAACCCGTCTGATTGTTTTTTTTTCCCTGAGACTGAGGGAGTGACAGTGGGTCCTAGTGACTGGCTTTTGCTGCAGCAATCACCTGGGGATCCTTGTAAGCTTGACATCACATTTAAAAGAGTTGGATATGAATACCCCTGAGCAGTGTCCCAGTAGGCCCCCGTCTGCAAGTATGTGGGGGCCTTTAGAATGCATTACATTCCTGTACTAATAGGAACTAGATATTCATGTTTAACATGAAGCAAATAATCACAAAGGTTTTTTACCTGTGTTTTGCAGAACAATGAATATAGATAAGGTTATAGATCATTTTTTTAAATGTACTTTTATTTTATGCGAGGGACCGATGACAGTCCTGCATAATTCTTAAGTAGAAGTGAGGATTGTATTTGTTGTTTTTTTGTAAAGAAAGCCATGCATATGTCAGAGTCAGCGCAGTCGGATTACTAGAGAGCTTTGGAAAACATTGTTTAGAGTCTTTGCACAGATTTCAGTGCAAAGACTGACTCAATATCCTTCATTTTGGGTGACTGGTAGTCGGTTAATTGCACCATCTCTTGTGCATTTAAAACCTGTTTTTGTTGGCTTTTGTTCAGTGTTCTTCAGCAAAATTAGACTGGTTCATTGGGAGCTGTATTGGGAACTTTACCCCTGACGGTCAGTTTTAAAAGAGCCAGAATCTGAATTGGCAGGTCAGGCTTTTAAAGATCAATACACCCCTCATTCTAACCATGGTTGGGTCCTGTCTCTCTATTATATCTTTGGGTGCAGAGTATACTATTATGCTGGAAGGCAGTCCTACCCTAAGGTCTGTGGTGGCCAATAACAGGTTTTCTTCTAGGTTTTCTCCAAACATCATTTTTAATAGAAAGGCCTCTTTTCTTTGTGTCCCCTGCATAACTAGCAGCATACCGCAAACAGGACCTCTCATGGTGTTTTTTTTTCCGTCTTGCCCTTCCTGTCAGTATGTTTGTTAGGTTGGTGTTGTTCCACAGTCTTTATATTTTTATAAAGAGATGGCAGATTGGTCGGTTTTCAGTAAGACTTTCAAAAATATATTTATTCCTTTATAATCAAACCCTACTTTCGTCTCATTATCCTCGACCTGTCTGGTGAGATCTCTGGTGTGTTTTCTACTCTGTTCTACTGTAAGAAATGTCTGAGGATTTAGGTGACTATCTGTGTTTTAAGATCTTTATTTGTAGAATGTATCGATAGTATTTAACATGGCGCTTCCATAGAATGAATACATTCATTTAGTCTTGCTGTCTTAAATATTGTTTCTTCCATCGTCAGCTCGCTGCATCCTCTTCCTGATTATATGGCTGGTGACTGGTGGACGTCATCACTTCTGGTTCCTGCCCAACCTGACAGCAGATGTGGGCTTCATCGACTCCTTCAGGCCGCTCTACACTCACGAATACAAAGGGCCACGAACCAGTGACAAGAAGGGGTCAGATAAGACTGACGACAAGGACAGCGGCGCTTCCCTCAAGGCTCAGAAGTCGGACAGTGACGAGAAGTCGGACAGCGAGAAGAAGGATGCTGACGATGAGGAAGAGGACGAAGATGAGAGCAAGGAGGCAAAGCGAAGAGAAACAGACGACCGCCACTCGGATACAGACAGTGACCGCCGGGAGGACGAAGGCTCGCAGCACAGCAACGGAAACGACTTTGAAATGATCACCAGAGAGGAGCTGGAGCAGCACACAGAAGAGGAGGAAGAGGATGAAGGAGAGGAGGAAGACGAGGAGACAAACGAGAGGAAAGAAAGTAGCGAGAGTGAGTCGAAACCCCAGACTGCTGAGAAATAAACTTCCTGTTCCATCACTCTAGTTTTGTCCTCTGCCTTCCTTTCCCTCCCTGCTATGATCCAGGACCTGCTAGTCCCGCCTCTCTGAGTGCAAAGAGGCTCCATCTCATGTTGGTGAGCTCTTCTACTAAACAGAACCGGGACAGACAGACAGACCCCTCAAAGGTTTACGGCTATGATGATGGGGAAAATGTATAAAAAAAAATAAGCCTTATGATGGAAATGATTCCTCTCCAATGAAATGTTATTTATGTTCAAATGAAACTGCTGCTGGACATGTTTGCCTGAGGAACCCATCAGACCAAAGCATCACCTCTGAGGGTTTTCTGTTACGGTTCCTTGTCTTACAAGGTCGGGTTTACATCGCCATCACTTGGATTATATGGAGTCAAATCAAGGTGGCGTCATATTGGATGGTTCAGGAAGCACAGCACTGGTGTCATCCTCAGAGTTTCATATAAACCAGTGAGTCTGATGCATTCCTCAGGCAGCAGTGATCAGTGTGCCAGCTGTTCAATCCTCAACACGGATGGACCAAATCCTGGGCTTTATTTAAAGAGAAAGACCACATTGTGACAAAATTAAGACTAGTATGGGTCGCTTAGGTACTAGCTTCAGGTTGATCTCAATCGATTAGTTCTTTTATTGTATGAATTCAGTTCATAAAGAAAACAGATTGAATCAGCACACAGTCATTCAGAGTGTTTACTTCTGTTTATTTTGATGATAATGGCTTTTAGCTGCTAAACGTTAAGCTGCACAACAACGGTCCTAATCTATTCCTCCATTAGCAGCAGTACAATGCTTCTATCCCTGTTGCTTTTGCACTTTTTGCTTTCATTTAACTTCCCATTAATGTCTGGCTTTTAAATTACCCATTGCAACCATTTTACCAAATGTTTTTCTTCCACTAAACTTCCAGGACTTGTGCTTGAAAACAGATCTCAGTGCACCCAGCTTATTTAGTGAAGACTGTCTGACTAGAAAGGCCTTAACATAGGCATGACAATTCTGTTTAGAATAAATAAACAATTAGGTTTTCTGTAAGCCATTTTTGGCTGTAAACCATAATCTTAAAAATGAACAGAAACAAAAACGCTTTGAAATATTTTACCATATAATGAATCTTGGTTTAACTTTTTGAACTGAATTGGGTTATGGTTCGATTCTGATCAATTGAGACGTTTACTTTGGGATTGTTTTTGGCTTATAATAGTTGTCCACTCAGTATGAACTTTGTCTTCATTCAGTTTGCCCTCAAGAACACATTTAAGCTCCTGGAGACAGCTGGCATACTAATTAGTTTTTTTTTTATATTGCAGAAGTTGCTGAAGAAGTGTGTCTGTGTAAAACCATAAGTTGACTAAAGCACTGGGAACATGAGCAGATATAAAGAGAACTCTAGTGCCAAACACACCAGATGATACAATTTCAGCATGATCAACATGAAGAGCTGAGCTTGATTTAATGAAGCCGTTCATTTTGGAAAGGCATTGTCCCAATTCTTCACATTCTTAAAGCGTACAGATGAAACACAGCATAAAGATGACGGTATGCAAGTAAAGAAAGAGGATTTTGGTTTAAATGTGTTCACATTAGACTGTAATCCAAAGGAGTCGTATCTAGTCTTGCACAAGCAATCAGTGGGCTTATTTTTTTGAGTCCAAATCCGCTCACTGATCAGCTGAGGTCCAAGCTGTTTCACTTTATCTTCGGGCTAGAACGGATTAGATGCTCTTTATAGGCATAGCAAGGATTATATTTAAGTATGAAACAGAAATGTATCATTTATATATGGTTTCTATTAATGTACCAGATATATGCATATAGTACTCAAAGTCTAAAACTATGGAACAAGACTTCTGCTCATTTGTGTCTAATTATTGTTCTCATCCGAGTCATCTAGTCTAACTTTTACAGGTAGAATCTGGGAACCGTTGGATTACAGCATTTTTAGATTTGCCACGATGTCAAGTGTGTGATTGTGCTCGGTTGTATGTTGCCAGGTCTGCTTTTCTCCCTCCAATGATCTGTTGTTTACCTGGAGTAAAGAAAGCAGTTACATCTGTGCTGCTTTCTGTATGTTCCTCATGTTACCTGAACTTGTCTAATCTGTGTTACAGTTTTATGTTATTTTTTATCCTGCCATAGTCCTAATAAGGTGTGTATCTCTGACTTTCTCATTTGCATGTTTGTTTTGTTTAACATTCTGTTTTTAACCCCTTTTTCTTTCCATTGGGCAGAAGCACACCTGTTTGCAGTCAGCCTCTGGTTTTCCATTTCACATGAAATCTACAAGCTTTTCGGTCTGTTGTGTATTGTAGTGTTATTCTAAGCTGCTGCTGCTTCTCATCACTTCTCTGGGGAAAATAAATATAAAAATGTAAAAACTTCCACATTTTATCTCTGGTCTTTCTGATCACCTTAATATTATTTCATGACTGTCTCCTGAGAGGCATTTTCTGAAACTGGATATCTGGATTATATCTGTTATAGCAATAAAAATCTAGAAATTATTTGAGTCTCTGTAAAGTTTCTACCTGTGTTTAAAAAGAAAAACATGTTATTCAAAGATGCAGTGCGTACTAAAACTGAAAAACTTGCTTAAAAAAACAAAACACCAAATTCCAGCTTAGGAAGTAATTAAAGTTCAGAACATTATAGAAAAGTACTTAATTTTAGAAATTTGAGTAACACTGCTTACAGCTAATTAGACCCAAAATTCAGTATAGAACGCCAACATTTTGGTCATCAATGCACCTCCTTACTGAAGTCCAGCCCATGACAGACACTTCTGTTTGTATTTGCATGTAATCATCCATATTAACTCACAATTTTCTTCCACTCAACTTCAATCAATGCTTTATGATCCAGCGCTCTGCTATGCTGGTGGCTATGCTCGCTATTGCAGACCAACAATGACTCCCCGTTACTAAGAGGTGGTCATGTTCTTTCAGTTCTATTTGCATGTTTTTTAAGTCATAAGGCTTTGTTGGACCACTCTATAAAGCTTGGAACTCAACGCTAATCCAGACATTTTGAATTGAAAAAGCTTCCTGGATGGGAAGCAAAACATCTTCAAACTTGGAAAACAGATTCAAGTGGTTTGTTTTTAAACTTTTTTAGCACTCTATTAGCCTCCTTAGCTATGACCTTTTGAGCTCTTACCTCAGGACAGCTGTATCACATTCTCTACCATTTTTAGTATTTAATGTGTAAATCTTTATTAGAAAGACGTGTTACTGCATTATAAGAACATAATTGAAGTTCTTGGTTTGACAAAAATGTCAACATAAAAAAAACAAAGAGAAATGTCTAGATTTTTATTTTCTCATTTCTGCCAAATCACTTGTTAGATTTTGTTTTAAACATAATACACACACATGATTGCATACAGTCTGACTGCAGCTTTAGTTTCAAACAACAAAAGTAAGGCTCTAGATTCTGCAGGAAACAACAGCAGGGATACTTTAGTTCAACATTAGCATTATCAATTTATTTCTTGAACTAGGTGAACATAAATATAACACTGAATACACTGGAACTAGAGATCTGTATGTACAAATTTACATAAAATTGCTGAGATGGAGTCCAGTCTGCCCATTTCTTTTAAAGATCGTTCTACTTCTGCTTTTATTTATCCTGAGCCATTTCCTATAGCATGCTGCTTTTTAAGTATGGGTAGTGTAAAGTACTCTTTGAAGCTTATACAGCGTTATGTGATCAACTAATTCTTTCATGTCTTAAAGCACTACACACAAAGATGCAGTGTAGATGATATTATGTCTCAGGGCTACAATGGTTGTGATATCCTGTATAATCATGCGTTTGACAGGAGCTGTTTAACACTGATCTGCTTCAGTCTAAGCTGGTCTCCAAGAAAACCTGATCCCTTCAGCGGCTCTCCTTTAGTTCTCCGTGTCCGATGAGTCAGAGACGTCTGCGAGTCGGGCCTGCCTTTTGCGGACGTTCCAGTGTAAACACTGAGCCAGACTTTCAAACCAGTCGTACACCAGGTCATGGCAGCAGATGGACGGTACAGGGTAGCAAGACGTGGTAATCTTGATGCTGTGATAAGGAAACAGAAAAAAAAAAAACTGAATAAGGAGAACTATCAAGGAAGCTGAAACAGATGAGGGTTACTGCAGTTTACCAGTCGCCATGCTGGATCTCCTGTCTCCTCCTACCGTCAAATGACACCCAGACATTGTTCCTGGCATCAGGTGATAAAGTGATCTGAAACAAACAAACAGTCTGTATTGATTCCCTGCTAACTTCTATGTAGGGTAGAGCTACGTTTCTTTAAGTTTCTTTAATCAACTTTCCAAATTTCCAATTCATTTTCTCTCCATTTTAATAGTACAAATATTAGTATTACAATGAATTTATATGAAAGTTATAATGGTGGGACTTTAAATATTCAACCTGCAACAACCAGAGGAAGAGATGGAGGTAGACTTATGATGGCAGGAAGTCCAAACAGACGGATGGACAGAGGAAGGCACAGAAGGTAAAACTGAAACTTAAAAGGAATGAGAGAATCTAAAAACACTAATATTTTTCCACAATCATCTTCCTTTTACAACGCTTGCCCACGCCCGATTGCCCTGCAACAAATCTGCATCTCTTGACCTCTTCACTCAGTTCAAACATGTTTACCATGAGTTCCACGCCAGCAGGGACCACAATGGGCCTAAAGGACAGGGAGTGGGGACAGATGGGTGTGACCATGATGGCAGGGACATTAGGGTGGATCATTGAGGCTCCTGCTGCAGCTGCATACGCTGTGCTCCCAGTGGGCGTGGACACAATCACTCCTAGAGGACACATAAGGACACTTGCTCACTTAGTGGTTCCCTTGAAATAAAACTGAAAGTGTTTGCTGTGGAGGCAAAATTCAGATGTTTAGAGTTCTTTTAACTCTCACCATCTCCCTGCACTGAAGTAATGAGGCGTCCATCTAGGTACAGGTCTACGTTAGACAGATAGGAGGACGGGCCTCGATCCACCACCACTTCATTTAACACCTGCACACATGAACACAAACATAAACAACTTAGATTTTAGGAACACCAGCAGCACTGCAACAGGTTTTAATTTGGAGATTCAACAGTTAAGCTGATTTTTGGAAAACCTTTAAATTGTAGGGGACTGATGTGTAATGGTACACTATATAGTGGAAGACTATACTTTAGTGACACCTACAGGCCAGAAGCCAAAATGTTCTCCTTTGTTTATCAAGGTGCTGGTCATATTGTGGAATACCATGAAAAAGTGTATTCAGTACTTTTATGGAAAAGGAAAACATTTATAAGGACAACTGCAGAAATATGGTGTGGCATGGAGTCAGGTGAGTTTGCAGGCCAAAGGAACAGGGAGACTATGGCCCCCGGTACTGTGTGCAGCCATCCTCTGTAGGAAGGACAATTTGTGTTTTGCCCTCTTTATGCACGGTGTCAGTTGTTGTCTTTTGCACAGCTGTTAAAGTCAGCAGTCTGCCAATCACTGTTCAGCCCAAAGAAATACACTGAGAGACCATTTAACATGTGCTGGTGTTTTAATTAACTTTTTAGAGAGTGGCATCCATGTGTCTTCTATATTGAACCTTTTTACAATATTCTAATTTTCTGATACTGAATATATACATACATATATATATATATACAGGTGCTGGTCATAAAATTAGAATATCATGAAAAAGTAGATTGATTTCAGTAATTCCATTTAAAAAGTGAAACTTGTATATTATATTCATACATTACATACAAACTCATATATTTCAGATGTTTATTTTGTTTAATTTTGATGATTACAAATGACAACAAATGAAAATCTCAAATTCATCATATCAGAAAATTAGAATATTACTGAAGACCAATAAAAACAAAGGATTTATAGAAATGTTGGCCAACTGAAAAGTATGAACATGAAAAGTATGAGCATGTACAGCACTCAGTATTTAGTTGGGCCTCCTTTGGCCTGTATTACTGCAGCAATGCGGCGTGGCATGGAGTCGATCAGTCTGTGGCACTGCTCAGGTGTTATGATAGCCCAGGTTGCTCTAATAGTGGCTTTTAGCTCTTCTGAATTGTTGGGTCTGGTGTATTGCATCTTCTTCTTCACAATACCCCATAGATTTTCTATGGGGTTAAGGTCAGGAGAGTTTGCTGGCCAATTAAGAACAGGGATACCATGGTCCTTCAACCAGGTACTGGTAGCTTTGGCACTGTGTGCAGGTGCCAAGTCCTGTTGGAAAATGAAATCTGCATCTCCAAAAAGTTGGTCAGCTGCAGGAAGCATGAAGTGCTCTAAAACTTCCTGGTATGTGGCTGCGTTGACCCTGGACCTCAGAAAACACAATGGACCAACACCAGTAGATGACATGGCACCCCAAACCATCACTGACTGTGGAAACTTTACACTGGACTTCAAGCAACGTGGATGAAGTGCCTCTCTTCTTTTCCTCCAGACTCTGGGACCTTGATTTCCAAAGGAAATGCAAAATTTACTTTCATCAGAGAACATGACTTTGGACCACTCACCAGCAGTCCAGTCCTGTTTCTCTTTAGCCCAGGCAAGACGCTTCTGACGCTGTCTGTGGTTCAAGAGTGGCTTGACACAAGGAATGCGACAGCAGAAACCCATGTCTTTCATACGTCTGTGTGTGGTGGTTCTTGAAGCACTCACTCCAGCTGCAGTCCACTCTTTGTGAATCTCCCCCACATTTTTGAATGGGTTTTGTTTCACAATCCTCTCCAGGGTGCGGTTATCTCTCTTGCTTGTACACTTTTTTCGACCACATCTTTTCCTTCCCTTCGCCTCTCTATTAATGTGCTTGGACACTGAGCTCTGTGAACAGCCAGCCTCTTTAGCGATGACCTTTTGTGTCTTGCCCTCCTTGTGCAAGGTGTCGATGGTCGTCTTTTGGACAACTGTCAAGTCAGCAGTCTTCCCCATGATTGTGTAGCCTATAGAACTAGACTGAAAGACCATTTAAAGGCTTTTGCAGGTGGTTTGAGTTAATTAGCTGATTAGAGTGTGGCACCAGGGGCCATCAATTTTGAACCTTTTCACAATATTCTAATTTTCTGATATGATGAATTTGAGATTTTCATTTGTTGTCATTTGTAATCATCAAAATTAAACAAAATAAACATCTGAAATATATGAGTTTGTATGTAATGTATGAATATAATATACAAGTTTCACTTTTTAAATGGAATTACTGAAATCAATCTACTTTTTCATGATATTCTAATTTTATGACCAGCACCTGTATATATATATATATATATATACACATACATATAGATACATATATATACACAGTTGTTTATCACTTGTAGACCTTTTTTTTAACATACAAACTATTAATGGATCAGTTCTTCAGTGTTCC